TTCATTATATACTCATTATTATTCATTATATACTCATTATTATTCATATTTACGCTTTGATAATGTGTGTTGACAACTTGTACAACGAGGATAACCATTAGAGCTGAGTTCCCTTTGAGTTCTAATGTAATGGTTCACTTTCATATTTCTAGAAATAGTCATTAGGCAATGATCAGGAGCAAAAATTCTGGCTAACGTCCGTCTAATCCTAGTCTATGTAATCCTGAAGCTGCATGTAATAGTGCCATTGTCACGCCACATGCACATCGAAACACTGGAGCGAATCAAAATGATGGTAAATGATTGTGTTGTGTACCTTAAGTTGATGACATAATCTTCATGGTTTCCTCTGTTTAGATAGATTGCTTTTGGGTAAGCAAGTAGAAATGCAAACAGAATCAGCAGAATCTCAATAGAATATTTCCCTCTGTCAACGTAGTCTCCATTAAAGATATACACTTTTTCTGGTGATGGCAGCCCGTTCTGGTTAGGAAACAAAAATAAATCTACATTGTAACAGAAATGTCTCTTGTTTCAGTACCATATAACAATAGAGAGGTAGTACATAAGTTATTTTTCACACCACAACCCGTTATATGCCCAAATTTATTTCTTTTAAATTGACATGGGCTCCTTGTTCCCAAAGGCACACTCCGAAATCAGTATTAACTTTGGATGGTGGACCAATAATTTTGTGGAAGACACTCTTTGGTCTGCCTGAAACCTGCAGATCTTCCTATGCAAAGACCAAGCGTACTGACTGGAACATTCCAAAGTCAATGACTATGAGCTGAGAGATGCACTGAGACACAATCAGGAAAGGTCACTGTCTAAGGCCTTTCAGCCATGGTACAAAGAAAATCTAGAAACTAGAGAAAACCTTGGGTGGTATTCCAGACAAGGAATAAGAATTGTGAATATTGAAGTTGCACTGAGCCACCACATAGTGGAATATGGTGTATAGGGAAAAGTTTATTTGTATTGCACTTTCTGTAATTTTCAATTTGAAATGTTTTGCCCTTAGAGGTATGCTTGAGATGCAATGTATTATGGAAATATTAAAAACATTACAATTGCATCAAACCACCTTATATGAGGACAAGTTGACTAGGAATCTCTCCCACACTTACCAACATTTAACCCCTTGCCTTCGGTACGAGTTAGAAAGGTGTTCAGATTGGTCCTCAATCTACTTGGCCATGTATTGAACATACATTCCTTGACCATCAATCCTGAGATTATATGCAAAACAATTCTGGCAATTGGCTTTCAAAAATATGCAGGCGTACCTTATAGAATATTAACAATAAGTCATCCAATTGTCCATGTAAATCACCTATGAATTCCATAGAGAAAATAACATAATCAATTACTGATATACAATTTTTTCAACAGAACTATGTATACTCAAAGATTATATAATAACAAAGACAAACTACAAATCCCGAAAATCTAAACTAAAGAAAGGAACTGCTGCTAATACTGTTATGATCCCAGTTGATGTTATTATTGGACAAGTGTAATCTCAGACTGAAATGTGGGACTTTTTTTAAGTGTTGGCTCTAAAGAGGTGGTGTCTCATTGAAACATAAGCATGCAACATTACAAATTTGCTTTTAACAATTAAACAAACTTTTATTAAGCAACAGGAATGAAGACAAGATTAAATAAGCTAAACTATTTTCTTATCAAACAAAACTAAAGATTTTGAAACACACAGTGAAATATCCCATAAATCCTTTACAGTCCTTTACAGATCCTAAAACCTACGTAGGATCCAACAGCACACATTGCACAGCACCTGTACCAGAAAATCCCTTTCTCTGACGCCTTGATGACTTTAACTCCCAGTCTGAAAACACTGATAGCTTCTTTCTGGAGCTATCATAAACCTGAAGTTAAATGACCTCCGTTTCAAATAACCTCTATGGGTGCTTCACTTAAGCTTAAAAAAAAATCAAGAAATTTCAAACAGAAACACTGAGGCCCAATTGTTTACGTCACTAGGTCATAAATTTTCCGAAGGCATATAAAATTTCATTAGTTCTAAAAACTAGCATTCACAAACTGCTAAAAATGTCACAGTGGCTATAGAAGCAGCTAATTATTAATTCCTTCAGACACACAGAAAAACCCATATGTCATTACTTTAAAATCTAAAATACCAAACTTCACACAAATAATATTAAATATATGTCTAAACTGCAGTCTACATCATAATACATAGTATTCAAATCAGCTTCTCTAGAGATGATAGGGATGTTTAAGACCTTTTGGCTCTGTGTGAATTCTGATGGTTCATAATACTGTACTTAAAAGATGACTGATGCCCCTGTGAATTTTCAGCGTTTTCCAGTTTTAGAATGAATGTTGGATAATCTGGACCATTACAAAAATGTTTTATTTTAATTTATTTCATAGCCGTGTGCTACTTGTTTGATACAGAAATATAACAAACTAAAAATCCACCAAATAAGAAGCCCCATCAAATTGTCTAATACCCATGACTTCAGCCAGAGTACAGGTTCAAGTGCTGCTTTGTTCTGAGCTAACAATTATTAGCTAGAGTGGGCTGCAAAAAGCAGTAACCAAGCAAAACTAAAATGTACCACTCATTTGTATATAGAGGAGGAAAATTAACCCAAGCTGCAACTGTTGCTGGAAGGTGCATGTTTGAGGGCAGGATCAAGGTGAGCCGAGATTGAATTGACTGCCTTACCCTCTAACTGGATTCCCATATAGTTAAGTTACCAAAAAAATGTGGGCTCATGGTCAAGTTTGAGTCTGTCTGTGTAGAGGAAGGAGAAAGAAAATTCCTGTGATAATGGGGTGAAAGGAGACAATCTGCTGAAAAAAAAATTAGGAGTGGTGGGTGTGTGTAATGCGCTGCCGGCGGTGGAAGTGGAGTCAGATACATTAGGGATATTTAAGCGACTCTTAGCTAGGCACATGGATGATTGTAAAATGTAAGGTGTGCAGGGTAGTTTGATCTTAGAGTAGGATAATAGGTCAGCACAACATCGTGGGCCGAAGGACCTGTACTGTGCTGTGCTGTTCTATGTTCTGTGTTCTATGTTCTTTGTTCTAAAATTGTGACCTTTTTTAGGAGGTACTCATGCCTACATTTTCCAATTACAGGTGATTTGAAATGCCCCAGTCTCTTCATAGTTCTGTCCTTCACAAGCAATAGGATTTTTGATTTCTGCCTGGAATGGCACAAAGTCAGGAGATTGGAAATGCCATCTGCTTAACAGGAGACCCAAATTTCAATTGACTGTAGTCAGCAAACAGACTATGGCAGTTATGAAAGGTTAGGAATTCAGCTCGCTCCTACACTGCAACGATGGTCTGGAGTTTGGATTTCGGAGTTAGTCCTACAGGTTTTGAAGATGGACTAAAGCAATACCAAAATATATTTCTGAAGCCAAAGGGAACCTACTGTTCCTGACCCCATGACAAATATCTGCCAAAAAATGTTTTAGTCCCTTAATAAAGGTACAAATGGCAAGAGTATTTTAATTGGGGTGCTGCAACCATAGTAGGACATCAAGTTGCGGATGTATTATCTTGCGGATGTATTATCATGCTACCCAAAAGAATGGATCATTCTCGTTGCCAATGTCCAGACCAACCTGAAAACTGTACAGGGTGGATGATCATTCAGGGAAGAAAAATGTAGCCTGCATTTGAAAATCACTCCTTTCACAACCCTCAATGCCCAACAACATGGCCAAATATCAACCAGTGCCTTGATTTGATTTGATTTATTATTGTCACATGTATCTAGGTACAGTGAAAAGTTTTGTTTTGTGTGCTGTACAGGCAGATCATACTATACAAAGTGCATAGCATAATAGAACAGAGCAAAGAATACAATGTTACGGCTGTGGAGGAAGTGTGCAGGCAGTGAGATCAACATTAAATTTTAAATTTGATCAGTCCATTCAGAAGTCTAAAACAGCAGTGAAGAAGCAGTTCTTGAGTCTATTCATATGTGTATACAAATTTTTATATCTTCTGCCTAATGGAAGAGGGTGGAAGAGAGTATAACCAGGGTGGGAGGGGTCTTTGATTATATTGGTTGGTTTCCAGAGGCAGTGGGAAGTATAGGTGGAGTCGATGGATGGGAGGCTGGTTTGCGAGATGGACTGGGTTGTGTTCACAACTCTCTGTAGTTTCTTGTGGTCTTGGGAAGAGAACTGTCAGACCCATGCTGTGATGCATCCAGATGGAATGCTTTCTGGGGTTCATCTATAAAAAATTGGTAAGCGTTCTTGTGGACGTGCCGAATTTCCTCAGCCTTCTAAGGAAGTAGAGGCATGGGGGGTGTGCTTTCCAGCTTCAAAAGACTGTTATTGCAAACTCCATGATTATGTGGGACTACATAACTATCGCACACAAAAGATGGTCAATAGGCATGTAAATTGGAAGAGAAACTGCCAATTCCATATTGCCCACTTTATATTTCTGATAAATGTTTAATTATCCCATATAATTGAAAGTTTGACCCTATGCTTACATGTGGGTGAGCTCGAACAGAGACAGGCTGTCTATGTTATTGGGGGCCATGGGTTATATTAGAACTGGTACACTAAAGGTGAAGAATGGTAACAGACTTTAATCCCTACCCCGCTGAGGGAGGGTGAGGCCAAAGCAAGGATCAGGATCCTGACATAGAGTCATAGAGTCATACAGCACGGAAACAAACCCTTCGGTCCAGCTAGTTCACGTCAACCATGTTCCCAAACTAAACTAGTCCCACCAGCCTGCACTTGGCCCATATCCCTTCAAAAGTTTCCTATTCAGGTACTGATCCAAACATCTTTTAAATGTTGTAACTGTACCTGCATCTGCCACTTTCTCTGGCAGTTCATTCCACACATAAACTACTCTGTGAGAAAAAGTTATCCCTCATGTCCTTTTTAAATCTTTCTCCTCTCAACTTAAAAATATGCCCCGTAGTTTTGAACTCCCCCACCCAAAGGAAAAGATCCTTATCATTCACCTTATCTATGCCCCTCCTGATTTTATAAAACTCAATAAGGTCAACACTCAACCTCCTATGAACCGGGGAAAGAAGTCCCAGCCTGTCTAGTCTCTCCTTAGAACTCAAACCCCCCAGGCCTGGCAACATCCTTGTAAATCTCTTCTGAACTCTCTCTAGCTTAATAATATCCTTCCTACAACAGGATGACCACAACTGCAAACAGTATTCCAGAACAGGCCTCACCAACATCCTGTACAACCTCAACATGACTTGCCAATTCCTACACTCAAAGGACTGAGCAATGAAGGCAAGTCTGCTAAATGTCTTCTTAACCACCCTGTCAACTTGTGATGCAAATCTCAAAGAATAATGTACCTGAACTCCTAGGACACTCTGTTATACAACACTACCTAGGGCCCTACCATTAATTGTATAAATCCTGACCTCCAAGTTTCAGTAGTTCGTTTTTTAAAAAAAGCTACTTATGATAGGTGTGATTGGTATCTAGCCTCTGCTCTCACCACAGATGTACAAAGTACAGTCCATTTCCAATTACCAATGGCTATATTCCCAGATCCCACAAACCAAAGGAGGTCACAGTAATAATAGCTGTGGGTGGACCCACGTTCTGTCACTGGGTGGACCTTCCCAATTATTTCTCTGTCTAATTACAGGGAGGAAAAACATCAGGGATACGGAAAAGACCAGGATTAACAGATTTCTTTTTAACGATCAAACAAACCAGACTGAGTGAATTGCCTCTTTTGCTGCTGTATGATCCTTTAATTCTATTCTGATGTAAAATAACCATATTAAAGTGAAATACAATCTGGAACAAAATGCAATTAACGTTAGTGCATCAATCTTTGTCTTGTGATTTGCAATGTTTCATGAAGTCTTAATTAATGTTTAAGCTTTATAAGTGTGAGGTCATCCATTTTGGTAGGAATAACAGCAAAATGGACCATGTTTTAAATGGTAACAAAACTGCAGCACGCTGCTGTGCAGAGGGACTTGGGTGTCTTTATGCATGAATCGCTGAAGGTGGGATTGCTGGTGCAGCAGGTGATTAAAAAGGCAAATGGAATTTTGCCTGCCATTGCTCGAGAGATGGAGTTTAAAAACAGGGAGGCTATGCTGCAGCTGTATAGGGTCCTGGTGAGGCCACACCTGGAGTACTGTGTGCAGTTTTGGTCTCCTTACTTGAGAAGAGATATACTAGCACTGGAGGGGGTGCAGAGGAGATTCACTCGGTTGATTCCAGAGTTGAGAGGTTTGGATTATGAGGAAAGACTGAGTAGACTGGGATTATACTCATTGGAATTCAGAAGAATGAGGGAAGATCTTATAGAAACATATAAGATTATGAAGGGAAGAGATAAAGTGGAGGCAGGGAGGTTGTTTCCGCTAGCAGGTGAAACTAGGACTAGAGGGCATCGCCTCAAAATAAAGGGAAGCAGATGTAGGACTGAGGTCAGGAGGAACTTCTTCACCCAAAGGGTTGTGAATCTGTGGAATTCCCTGCCGAGTGAAGTGGTTGAAGCTACCTCACTGAATATTATTAAGGCAAGGCTAGATAAATTTTTGAACGGTAAAGGAATTAAGGGTTATGGTGAGTGGGTGGGTAAGTGGTGCCGAGTCTCAAAAAGATCAACCATGATCTTATTAAATGGCGGGGCAGGCTCGAGGGGCCAGATGGCCTACTCCTGCTCCTAGTTCTTATGTTCTTATGTTATGTTCTTATGTTCTTTATAAAACACACAACTACATTGTTGTTCTACGTATAAAAATCTGATTTATCAATTCCTTTTAATTGCAATAAAATGGTATAATTCTTACCGCATATTGTAATCTCTTTACTGTAGCAGGTAGAAACATGGCTGATATTTGGCAAATGCTCCAAATGCTTCCTGGTTTCATTTAGAAGCTCTAATACATAGCGAGCATGAAGCTGCTACTGAGAGAAATGCAGTGAGTGTGACACATTGCAGGCATATGCTTGCGAACATATTTGAATATTGAACCACAGCGATAGATTACTTAAGTGCAGAAGCCTTCCTTAAATTCTTTTTAACTTATTTAAGTATACTCTAAGTGGCTGCTTTCATTGAATTTATAAGAAGTATTCTGTCCTCACGATCTTTCATTATTAATAATAAACAATTTATTTTACTATATTTCATTTGCATCCATTCTTGGGGATCCTGCAATATATTAAGTATTAATATATTTGAACCAATGTTTATTGACTAATGCATCTTCCCTTTTCAAAAAATTATTTTACTGATTGACTTGGTCTTGTAGCTTAACCCGGATAAACAATTTGTTATATGATAACATTGGAAGATAGTCAAAATCATTTAAACTGAAGCAGGAGGAGGCCATTTGGCTCTTCAAACCTATTTCATTCCCAATGGAATGGAGTTAGAATTAGAATTAGGTTTATTGTCACATATACTCAAGTACAGGGATACATGAGTAGAAGTGAAAAGTGTACAAAGTCGCCATTTTCAGTGCCATTTTAGGTACAAAGATGCCTAGGTACAAAATCTTAGGTTTAAATTTAAAAATGGAGAAAAAAGGTAACAATTCAGGATTACACTCCTTCTAAAGCAGGGAGTCTGTGCTGGGCTTGATCTCGAGGCCGGGATTCTGTTCTGGGCTTCACCTCGAGGCCAGGAGTCTGTGCTGGGCTTCACCATGAGGCCAGGAGTCCATTGAGTCTGGACTTGGTTTCCTCAAGGCCAGGAGCTGATTGGGTCCATCCCCGCTGGATTTCCTCGAGGCTGGGAGTCTCTTGAGTCCGCGCTGGCTCATCTCTCCACCACCGATACCATCTGAGGAATGGAGGTCAGTACAGAGAAAGAAAAGAAAGGAGAAAAAGAAACAAAAAGTGGAAGAAAAGAAGAAAAGAAATGGAGTTCCGGCTTAGGAGCCTACTCTGCTGCCATCTTGGAATTATATCTTCGAATAGCGTCCATTTGTGGTCAATGTTTGGAATTATTCTGGACGGACACATGTTGGTTTTCCACAATTCATAATGTCCATTAATCCTTCACTAATACTATATAGTTACACTTTACTTGAATTTATGAGAATTTAAGCCTTAATCTCTTTTTGTATTTGATACATCTGTTATGAATAATTTCTGACTACATTCCCTCTCAAATTCTAGATTTTGTTTTAATAATTTGACCATCCATCTGGGATTTCTTTTTGAGAATCCCAAATATCTCACCCCATTTATTACCTTCTTACCTATTTCAAGTTGTGCATTCAGTGTTATGGATGACCTCTCATTTGTCCTTACATTTATCCTCTTCAGGCTTTTCAATGTCTTTTGATAGTCAGAGCCATTTATCCTTTCACTAATGATCTAAAATGAGTTGTCCATTCTATGGGTCATCTGACTTCCTTTTCAGAGATATTAGACTTTGTATTTCGTTGAAAGCTAAAATGATTTTGATATTTATGCACTTACTTGTTCACGTTTGAAGGCTTCCAGTAAGGTCGTTACATGTGCGGGAGTGAGAGGGAAACAGAGCTGAGGTCCAGTGTAAGAGTCTGAAATCTCAATATTACCATAGAAGCAGTGAGTAGCCCATTCTGCATCCTTACATGACTCATTTGTCTGAGTGAAAATTTGGGAAATATGATCTTCTGTAGAGGGAAAGTTAAAAGTTAACATTTCTTAGTCACGATACAAGTATAATGCATGAGATTCTGACTTTCCAACATCAACATTTACAGTTCGGATTTCAGAACAAATATACATTACAAAACTGTGGTTTATTTGATAAAGTGCACTTTAGATTTATGACAATACACAAAATCTGTGGCTGAATCTTACATTTTATGACCAAGAACAGATTTCATCATGTTTTTTGGGGTGGTTTTTTGCTCCAGCACTATATTTTATCAAATATGCTGACTAACTATCTCGCTGACGTTGAATTCCATCCCCTACTTATTGAGGTCTGCACCCAAACAACTCACCGCTGCCAGATCCCATTCAAAGCCCACTAGACACCCAGTCAAGCACTATCAGCCCAGAGGTGCATTCCATGTTTTCTGACACTTTCCCGACACATGGCAGACAGGGAAAATTAGTGCCCACTGTATGGGCAGAAAATTGGAGATCCTGCTGGATTGGGTGGTGCAGGGGCAGGACTTCCTCCTCCCTCATGCCCAGCAGTAGGGCCCACCATGCCAGCCTGGTCCATAGTGGCCACCTGGGCTGGAGAGGTCTCAGCTTTCCAGAGGAATGGTCAGCTCTAGAGGAAGAAGATCAATGACTGTCTCCACTCCATCTGTATAAGTGCCATTGTTTTCTCTCCACAATCTCCCACTGACTCTATCTCTGCTCCTGTATCCACCTCCCACCAAGGCTCATGCTCTACCACTCTCACTATTTTCTGTAACATCTTTTCTCACTCACTCTCACCTACGCTGACCCCTGACAGTATTTGCCTTCTGCGCTGCCTAATTGCTCGCTTGTGACACCTCCCCAACAAGATGTAAAATAACAGCTGTGCCACCCACTTTCATTTCTGTAATGCCCATCTTTCATTTTCAAAGGAAAACAGCCCCCAGTAGGACAGAAAGAATCCTGACGGGTAGTCGGCTCCCTGACATTCGGATCTTCAATTTTTATGTGGGGAATGCTCTGATTCTGACTACCCCGAGTGGCTGACCGACCATGTACAACCTCCTGGGCTGGTGTCGGAGGCTGCCCTTAACCAATTGTCTCACAACCGCTTCAGCAAAGACTCTTCCCCTTTGACTTGTCTGAGGCCTGCTGACAACCTATGACAAACCTCCTGGCTTTGTGTCTGTGTCAAATGACTTAGCAGCACACACTTCCATGTGTTTTTTCCTTTACCTCAGTGCAACTAACTGTATAGATCAGTGTTACAGGCTGGGCAATTCCTGAAGGCTGTTCCCACTCCTCCACTGAAACAGACTTTCAGCCACGTCAACAACGAAGCAACTCAAAGGCAATTCCTGGCCATAGGTTTGAGCTCCATTGCACACAGGCCTGCTACAACCCAGGGGAAGATTCCCAAATGTGAATTCCACACAGCTGGGCAAATCTAGCTAAGCATGGCTCTTTCCATGTTGCTGTCAACAATGCAGAATATCCCTACAAGAGAAATTGAGTAGATTCAATCTGCAACTTCAGCAGCCTCAGCAAGCTACTCAACTGTTCTTATAAAAATGTTTGTGGCACCTGGCCACAAACTGTCTCATCTCCTAAAAAATGATTACAAATAGCCCGAGTAATTTCAACCTTGTGTAGTGATGTAGAGTGAGTGTTGATGCATCCGTTGCCTTTTTTCTCCCTTTGTCCCTAATTTTATTTTTGTTATGTTTGACAAATAACTAGCAAGAGAGAAGTAAACTCAGCTGGTGATTCACTCTCGTCCATTTTACAAAATTGCACAAAATTACAAATACACTTGCTGCCCTGACATGATTACATGTTTGATCCTGTGTCATCGACATGTTGGTTATGACAATTGAGTTTCCCAATTTTGTTGTCAGCTTGAAGTTTCCTACGTGAGGTAGCTTTTATATTGGCTGTGCATTAATTCGGATTCCGAAAGAGTGATACACTTCTGAATACTGAAGTAGAGAATTTTTTGCTTTTACAAATGTGTGCTTTCATTCAATGTTACCAAATGTTTCATTTGTCATGGATCCCAAGGCAGGGAGATGCTCAATTACACATTGATCTTAACTAACAGCTTGTTTTAGATATTTTATAATTAACTTGTTCTGGGATGTTATCACACACCCACATCCACGCACACACACACCCACACGCACACACACACACACACACAAACACACACACCCACGCCTCTGCTTTCTCTCCACAGATGCTGCCAGACCTACAGAGTTTTACCAGCAATTTCTGTTTCTGTATCTGATTATTCAGCATTATTTTTAATGTTATCTCACACCTCTGGAGTAGGTAGGACATGAACCCAGGCCTCCTACTTCAGAGGTAGGGACACTACCATTGTACCAACAAACCCCAAAACAGCTCTTTTAAACAACTTACGTTCATTGCCAGAAGCTGGAGTAAAGTGCTCCATCAAATAACTGAAAAAATCGTGCAGCTGTGAAACCGAAAAAAAATAAACATATGTTTCTTAAAATAGGTTGGTGAATGGGAATAGTATCATCAGTTACAATATAGGTAGCTATTGTGTCAGTGCGAACAAACACAAGTAAGCATAATTTATAAACAGCAAATTTTCATGCAAGTAGCCATTTCCATATGTGGCTGTTGAATCGAAAGGAAAATCACATTTGAGGTGAAGGTTGGTCTCATCCGAAGCATGGATGCTAATTATAAGGGGCTTACTATTGGGCTTGACAAGATTAACTAACTCATTCCAACTGGGGAAAAAGCTTAATTAATTTTGTGCAGTGTTTTAAATGAACCTGGGATCCTTCCTTTTGGAAGTTAGACATTAATTCCTTGAATTGCTATTCTTGGTAATCTCATTGCACTGGTTTGATTCATGTCAGTTGTGGTGTTTTTGCCTTTGAGCCAAAAGGCTGTAGGTTTATGTAACACTCCAGAAGCTAGAGCTTATGATGGAGTGGACAGTTCACCTCCCAGTTGGAAAGTCAGCTAAAATCCGACACACTCCAAGCAAGTCCACTCTGCAGCTGTAACATTAGGGACGGGCTAAATTAGTTGGGAATGGGATTTACACCCTTCCGTGGGAGGAGCTGTCCAATCTGACATTGTAGGGCATGGAAGGGTGACCTCTCGGGACGTGCTTCCAACGCACACTGAGCACCTTCCAAATGAGGTGCCCTCGCTTCCTTGCGACTAGTTTTCATTGAAGTGCATACTTCTTCCTGCCTGCTGATACAGGCTATATTGGTGGGCAATGTGTTATCCAAGTGAATAGAGTTGCTAACAAGCCCAATTAATCTTTAATCATTCATTTAAACATGGCGGGCAGGCTGCAGTTTCCATCCGTGGCACAAGGTGGCAGTGAACTTCAAACTGGGTAGGTTACTGGATCTACTTATGTGCCACCCAGCCGAGAACACAGAAATCCAGGCCCGACCTGAAGCACAAAAGTCAACGATAACACTCCACTGAAGCAGTGCAGTGAGTCAGAGCTGCTGCCTTTCTGATAAGATGTTAAACCAAAAACGCAGTCACTGACCCTCTCAGGTGGACATAAATGATCCCATATTTCAAAGAGTTATCCCTGATATCCCAGCCAATATTTATCCTGACAACATTCCATAGTCGGATTATCTAACCATTGTTGTTGGTGAGAGCACACTGTCTCCAGCTGGCTGTCTTATTTCTTACAACAGTGACAATAGTTCACTGACTGTAAAGTGCTTTAAATAGTTCTTTGGTCCTGAAAGGTGATATATAAATAAAAATCTATCTTTCACCATAAATATCTTTGCTGGCCCTAAGGCGCAATGAAGGGAACAGGAGGAGTGCAGTCAATTACGTTCTGCACATACTCCTAGGAAGTTATGGATTGCTCCAAGTTTCAGGACTCTACCATTCTGTTGCATTTCATTGTTAAAGGGAAGAGGCCCTCACCTGATCCAATTTTCAATAAAACCCAGCACCTCCAAACCTACCACCTCCAGACTGGAAATAGACATTGTGGTTGATTAGTTTTAAAGGTCAGGTTCATAGAGCCAGGAATTCTCTTGTTACATTGTATCCAACCTGGGAACAAAGATTAGGGCCAGAGAATTTACAGCGCAAATTTAGGCCATTCAGCCCAAATGGTTTCTGATGATGATTATGCTCCCCATGTTCCTCTCATCCCTCCTACTCTAACGTTTTTAGTTTAATCTTCCACACCTTTCTCGCTCTCACCTCCTGCTAACTGCTTGTACACTATTCAGCTCAAGCACTCCTTGTAGCAATTGTAACCATTGGTATGAGACACAAACTTTCAAAAGTTGATTGGAGTCGACTGTTTGCAGATAAAAAGACGTCTGACAAGTGGGAGGCATTCAAGAGTGAGATGACAAGAGTTCAGGGACATTATGTCCCCGTTCGAGCGAAGGGTAAAGCTGGTAAGATTAAGGAGCAATGGATGAATAAAGATGTTGAGGTTCTTGTCAAGAATAATAAAGAATCTTATTTTAGATGTAGACAACTTGGTTCAATTGAACATCTTAATCAATATAAAGAGTATAGGAGCATTCTTAAAAGAGAAATCAGGAAGGCAAAGAGGGGATATGAGGTACCATTTGCTGATACGGTTAAGGATAATCCAAAGGAATTCTACAAATATATCAAGAGCAAGAGGATAACTAGAGAGAGGGTAGGGCCTCTTAAAGATCAAGGAGGTTGTCTTTGTGTTGAACCCCAGGCGATGGAAGAGATACTGAATGAATATTTACCGTGGAGAAGGAAATGGATTCTAGAGAATGCACAGAAATATGCTTTGATGTTTTAAAAAGAGTTCACATTACGGGAGAGGAAGTTCGGGAGGTCTTAGAGGATATAAAGGTGGATATAGCTCCAGGACCTGAGCTAATGTATCCCAGGAACAAAAACATAGTTGCTGGAAAAGCTCAGCAGGTCTGGCAGCATCTGTGAAGGAAAAAACAGAGTTAACGTTTCAGGTCCGGTGACCCTTCCTCAGAATGGTTTCTGAGTTCTCAGGAAGGGTCACCGGATCTGAAACATGAACTCTGTTTTTTTCCTTCACAGATGCTGCCAGACCTGCTGAGCTTTTCCAGCAACTATGTTTTTGTTCCTGATTCACAGCATTCACAGTTCTTTCGTTTTTTATCTAATGTATCCCAGAATATGGTGGGAAGTCAGGGAGGAAATTTCGAGACCCCTTGCAGAAATATTTGCATCATTTAAAACTATAGGTGGGGTGCCTGATTACTGGAGGGTAGCTAATCATAGAGCGAGAGATCATAGAATCTCTACAGTGTGGAAACAGGCGCTTCGGCCCTGTTGTACCTTTGTTTAAGAAAGGTTGTTAGGAGAAATCGGGGAACTATAGACCTGTGAATCTGACTTCAGTTGTGGGTAAATAGTTGGAGGTGATTATAAAAGATAGGATTTATGGACATTTAGAGAAGCAAAAATTGATTAGGATTGTCAGCATGGTTATGTGCTAGGAAAATTGTGCCTCACAAGTTTTGAGTTTTTTGGGAAAACGTTTGATGATGGCAGAACAGTAGACGTTGTTTATTTGGATTTTAGTAAAGCCTTTGACAAGGTTCCGCATGGTAGAGTAATTCGTAAAGTTAGGTCACATAGGATTCAGGGTGAGCTTGCCAATTGGATACATAATTGGCTTAATGGCAGGAGACGGAGGGAAATGGTGGAGGGTTGTTTTTCAGATTGGAGGCCTGTGACCTGTGCAGTTCCACAGAGATCAGAGTTCTGGGTCCTTTCGTTCTGGTTTTATTTGTCATTTATATAAATGATTTGGATGAGAATATAGAAGGCATGGTTAGTAAGTTTGTGGATGACACCAAATTTGTGACGTAGTTGACAGTGAAGAAGGTTTTCTAAGATTACAAAAAGATCTTGATCATATGGGTCAATGGGCTGAAAAATGGCAGATGGAGTTCACTCTGGATAAATGCAAGATATTGCATTTTGGTACTTACAGGGCTTATACAATTAATGCTAGGGCTTTGGGTAGTGTTGCAGAACAGAGAGACCTGGGGTGCAGGTATATAATTCTTTGAAGTTTGCATCACATATAGACAAGGTGATTAAAAAGGCATTTGGCATGCTTGCCATCATTGCTCAGTCATTTGAGTATAGGAGTTGGGATGTTATGTGAGGTTGAACAGGACATTGGTGAGGCCTCTTCTGGAATACTGTGTCCAGTTCTGGTCGCCCAGTTATAGAAAGGATATTATTAAGCTTGAGAGAGTTCAGGAAAGATTTACCAGGATATTGCCAGTGATGGAAGGTTTGAGTTTAAAGAAAGGCTGGATAGGCTGGAACTTTTTTTCAGTGGATCTCAGCAGGTTGAGAGGCAACTTGATAGAAGTTTATAAAATAATGAGAGGTATAGACAGAGTTAATGGTAGTTGTCATTTTTAAGGTGAGAGGAGAGAGATTTAAAAAAGACATAAGAAGCAAATTTTTTACACAGAATGGTTTGCATTTATTCTTTGTTTATTCATGGGATGAGGGTGTTGCTGGCTAAGGCAGCATTTATTGCCCAGAGAGCAGTCATGAGTCAACCACATTGCTGTGGGCCTGGAGTCATGTGTAGGCCAGACCAGGTAAGGATGGCAGTTTCCTTCTCTACAGGACATTAGTGAACCAGATGGGTTTTTCCTGACAATTGACAATGGATTCATGGTCATCATTAGTTTCTTAATTCCAGATATTTATTGAATTCAAATTCCATCATTTGCCGTGGCGGGATTCAAACCCAGATCCCCAGAATGTTATCTGGGTGTCTGAATTAACCGTCCAGTGATAATACCACTGGGCCATTGCCTTCTCTATTGTGGAATGGACTGACTGAGGAAGTGGTGGAGGCAGTACAATTACAATGTTTAAAAGTCATTTGGATAGACACATGAATAGGAGAGGTTTGGAAGGATATGGGCCAGGTGTAGGCAGGTGGGACTAGTTTAATTTGGAACTATGTTCGGCATTCAAACAACTTTCTGTTTGGACTCTAACCAGACGTCTCCACATTATGGATTGTGGTACTGGCTTGAATTTTGTGGAAATCCAGTGTCTGTTCATCTTTCTGTTAGAGTGGAGTTAGCACCTGTATGAGAACAAAGGCTCAAATGGCCTTCTTTCATATCACTAATTCTATAATTTAATTCTTAGATGAGAATAGTCATGGCCCACCCTTGTGATTGAAATTCAGTTCCCTTTTGCAACCTAGTTTAGGAACCCTCATCCTGAAAGAACTTGGTAGAATTTTGACATGAACACCTGCCATATGCTAGAGACTTTGAGAGGTGAGGACCAGTGCCTTCTCATGATACACAGCGCACTGTAATTCAAATCTGTTCACCCTTACCTTGATCTGATCCTGCTCCCCTGCATACTCAATTGATTGAAAAATAGTCCACGTGCACCGTCTGCGAACTTCCAACCGGGCAACATATTGACGATACCACCTCTGGATGAGAATGGCAGCCTTGATGGCTGTGAGAAGGATTACACACAAACACAAAGGAAATTATTCAGTTGCAGAGTTAATTCTCCCCTTCTCGGCAGAGTAGCAGTGAAGTTGGACTTTCACTTGACTGTTGGCTTCTTCACTGTTGACCCTGGCTCATATTTCCTGGGTCAGGGCTTATTTGTTTTGTGGCATGAGCACCATGCAGGATTCTTGGCAATAAAAAAGGATGATAATAGTCTGCAGAAGGAAACAGCATATTTTATAGGCCCTGGTCTCAGGCACAGGCTGATGAATTGTTGCAAATTGAACCTGGTATGTGTGCTGTGCCTGAAGGCGGGTCCCTAGCACATTGTCTGATGATTCTTCAGCCTGAGCCAATCCCTCAGTTGTTTCAGTCAACAGTTGTTTGCAGTTGCCTTCTACCTCAGGCCAAGAGTAAACAGACAGGGCCCATATCTACCCCTGTGACACGGGGTTTGAACCAATGCTGAGATAACAAGGTGTAGAGCTGGATGAACACAGCAGAGCAAGCAGCATCAGAAGAGCATGAAAACTGACGTTTCGGGTCTGGACCCTTCTTCAGAAAACCAATGCTGTTTGTATTATTCACAAAACACCAGATATTTAACAAAATGATCTAACTGGCCCAGTAATGTAGAGTAAGGATATAATAAAAGAGCAAACCTTCTAAAAGAAATTGCAGTGAACGAATAGCTTTTGCCAAAGGCATTGTGGCAGATATTAAGAAGAAACAAAGGAAACAATCAGTGGATTGAATCCCTGTGAAAAGTAATGGAGCAGCCCTGTACCTGATTGCTGAGGAATGCCTGCCAAGATTGAGGTAGAGATGGATGGAACGAATTACAAAATAGGTTGCTTCTCCAGCACTTTATGTCACCATCCTGGATGTCAATATTGCAGCAGATCTGCAAGGATAGATTCTTCTCAGGTGGATCAAATCTGATGAAAAATCACCAACTTTTCTCCCTCTACTGACCAAATATTTTCCAGCATGTGCTATTTTTATTTCAGACTTCCAACTTCTGCATATTTGATTTTGTTGACTCTCACTGTCCTTGGGCACATTGTCCCAATGCTTATTATAGTTGCAGTGTCTCTGTAACAGACAGTGCAGCATAACATCTGCTTCACTGCCCACCAAACACTGAGAAGCTGGTTCCCTAATGTCTTTGACAGGTAAGGGAGTCAGAACTTTAAGAAAGAAAGCTTGGCTGCAATAGCCAAGCAAAACTACATATTTTCTTGAATATCATATTTCACACAGTCCTACTGAAAGCCTGATGCACAGTGATTGCAATGCTTCTGGAAAATCATAGTGGCCAGATATGGACTTACCAGCACCATCTGTGTCATTAGAGTCTTCCATCACAATTTTTTTCGTTAATTTATCAAGAACTCTACTGGCAGGTCCCAGCCCATACTATTCTGCTTATCCACCATCATGTGCTTTTTAATGTAGTTTGGTGCCCCGTAAAGCAACATCTCGATTTTAAAATTCCCATCCTTGTTTCAAATCTCTCCACAGCTTGGTCTTTCCTACCTCTGTAATCTGTCACTGCCCACAATCCTGTGATGTCTGCATTCCTCTAAGTCTGACCTCTTGAGCACCTATGATTTTCAATCACCCCACTATTAGCAGCCATGCTTTCATCTGTCTGAGCTCGGGAACTTCCTTTTTAAACCTCCAAGACTCTCTTTCTGTTTTCTCCTTAAAGACAGACCTTAAAACCCATCTCTGTGACCAAACATACGATCATTTTCTTAGGTGGCTCTGTTTCAAATTTTGCATTGTAGCTTTGGGACATTTTATTACACTAAATAAATACAGTAGGAGTTATTTTGGGTATTACTGTCCTTAGCTTGGGATTTTATCTAGCCGGGATAAGTGTGATGTCATTACAACCAATGTGCTTGACTCCTAAGTGTCACCTTAGCTGATCCAGCACGACAATTAGTTACAATAAACCTCCAGAGGATCAGCATTGTTTAGTAACAACTTTCTGAGAAACTAAATGTGGGCAATAATTTCTCAGCCTTGCGAGTAACATCCACATCCCAATAATTCATTCACGGGGATTTATTATTCTGTTGATAGTTCTATGATAGCATTGAGTTGGTCCAAATAAATCATGGCACTCTCCTTTAATAGCACAGAATTTACTGAATGTTTTTAAAGATCCAGCCCAAACATACATGGACAGCAAGATTTCTCTCTAATGTGGATCCTCATTAAACAGCAGCATAGGTCAGAGATACCGCTATAAACCTTGAAAGCATGGCTGCTAATAGTGGGGCGATTGAAAATCATAGGTGCTCAAGAGGTCAGACTTAGAGGAATGCAGACATCACAGGATTGTGGGCAGTGACAGATTACAGAGGTAGGAAGGAGCAAGCTGTGGAGAGATTTGAAACAAGGATGGGAATGTTAATTCGAATACTGGAAATTAGCAGTGTTACATACCTGGGGTGCATAAAACTGAATTTATCCTACTTGTTAAACAATGACTTCATTTAAATTTAGTAAAAGTAGAAAAATGAAACCAATATAAGACGGATTTTATTGTAAGGAGGCTCAGAGAATCAATGACATTATTTCTTACCTGTCCCAGCTGTGCAGTGATATTCTACAATACATAAACACACAGAAAAGTGAATTAGATCATATTATTTATGAAGAACACACTGTTTTTATAAGATAGTTCATAAGCATTTTATTTTACTTATTCATGACTAGGCCAGTATTTATTACCCAACACTAAGCCTACTTGAGAAGGTTAGCTGCCTTCTTGAACCTCTGCAGTCCATCTTCTGTAAGCAGACCCACACTGCAGTTAGGGAGAGAGTTCCAGGAATAGCGTCAATAATGGAATGGCGATACATTGACAAATGGCTTTTTTAAAATTCATTCAGAGGATGAGGGTGTTGCTGGCTAGCCCAACATTTATTGCCCATCCCTAATTGCCCAGAGGGCAGTTATGGGTCAACCACATTACTGTAGGTCTGAGGCGCATGTAGGTCAGACCAGGTAGGGATGGTAGTTTCTTTCCCTAAAGGACATTAGTGAACAAAATGGGTTTTTCTGACAATCAACAATGGATTCATGGTCATTAGATTCTTAATTCCAGATATTTACTGATTTCAAATTCCACCATCTGCTGTGGCAGGATTTGAACCCAGGTCCCCAGGGCATTATCTGGGTCTCTGGATTAACAGTCCAGAAATAATGCCATTGGCTTTGAAGGGAACTTGCGGTTGGTGATGTTAACATGTATCTGTGCTATTGTCCTTCCAGATGGTGCTGTCTGAGGAGCCTTGATGAATTTCTGCAGTGCATCTTGTAAGCATTGTACACATTGCCACTACTGTGTGTGCCAAATAAAGCAGACTCCTTTTTCCTAGATGGTGTCAAGTTTCTTGAGTGTTATTGGAGCTGCATCCGTTCAGGCAAGTGAGGAATATTCCATTTCATTCCTGACCTGTACTTTATAGATGGTGAACAGGCTCTTGCGAGGCAGAAGGTGAATTACTTGCTGTCAGATCCCTAGCCTCTGACCTGCTCTTGCAGCTACAATATTTATCTGGCTAATCCAGTTTAGTTTCTGGTCAATGGTAAATACTGGGATGTTGATACAGGGGAATTCAGTGATGGTATGGCATTGAACGTCAAGCGATGATGGGTAGAGTCTCTCTTATTGGAGTTGGTCATTGCCTGACACTTGTGTGGCACAAATATTACATGCCACTTGTCAGCCCAAACCTAGACATTGTCAGGTCTGCTGAATTTGAGCATAGATTGCTTCACCATCTCAAGAGTTGTGAGCAGTGCTGAACACTGTGCCATCATCAGTGAACGTCCCCACGTCTGACTTATGATGGAGGAAAGGTCATTGATGAAGCAGCTGAAGATGGTTAGGCCTAGGACATTACACTCAGGAACTTCTGAAGAGAAGTCCAGGAGCTGAGATGACTGTCCTGCAACAACCATGACCTATTTGCCAGGTTTGACTCCAACTAGTGAAGCATTTTCTCCCTGATTCCCATTGACTCCAGTTTTGCTAGGGCTCCTTGATCCCACGTTTGGTCAAATGTGGCCTTGATGTCAAGGGCTGTCACTCTCACCTCTGGAATTCAGCTCTTTTGTCAATTTTGGAACAAGGCTGTAATGTGATCAAGAGCAGGGTGGCCCTGACTAAACACAAACTAGGCATCAGCAAGCAGATTATTGTTATGCAATGTTGGTGGCACTTTCCATCATTTTAACGATGATTGAGATTAGACTCAGGAGGGTGTAATTGGCCAGCTTGGATTGTCCTGCTTTTTGTGTACAGGACAGAACTCTGCTATTTTCTATCTGTCATGCAATGCCTTGCTGCAACTGTACTGGAATAATTTGGTTTGGACCATGGCAGGTTCTGGAGCACCTCTTCAGTACTATTGTCAGAATGTTGACAGGGCATTTGCAGTAACTAGCATCTCCAGCCATTTCTTGATGTCATATGGAGTGCATTGAATTGACTGAAGAGTGGCATCTGTAATCTGGGGATCTCCGGGGAGGCCAAAGTGGACCCACTTTGCACTTCTGGCTGAAGATTGTTACAAATACTTGAACTTTATCTTTACTTCTGATATGCTGGGTCTCACCACATTGAGGATGGGGATGTTTGTGGCACTTCCTGTTCCAGTGAGTTGTTAATTGTCCATCACTAGATTATGGCATGTCTGCAGATTTGACCCATTGGTTGTGGAATCACTTAGCTTTGTCTATCACTTGCTGCTTACTCTGTTTGGCATGTGGGCAGTCTTGTTTTTCAGGTTGATACCTCATTTTTAAGCATGTCTGGTGCTCCTCTTGGCATGCCATTCTGCATTCTTCATTAAATCAAGTTTGAGGGTAATGGTAGGACAGGGGAAATGCTAGGCCACAAAAGGTTGCAGATTGTGTTGGAGTATGATTCTGCTGCTGATGGCCCACATCACTGCATGAGAGTCTCAGTCCTGAGTTGCTATATCTGTGTGATGTGGCACAGTGATATTGCAACTCAATACGATAGATAGTATTATCACTGGATTTCATCTCTGCGAGGATACAGCGTCTTACTCAGACCAAATGCATCTGTGGCAGGCAGATGGGTGAGGTTGACCCAGGACCCCAGGATATTAGTTAGGCCTCTAGATTGCTAGTCCAGTGGTGTGTTACTCAGGTTTCACTTCACTGACAAATGAGCATATGTCCAAAATTATCTTAATTGTTTTGAACAATCAATGTATGCAGAAGGTCAGCATTTCCTTTATTCAGTCTCCAAACTACTGGGAAATCCACAGTTAGAAGAGAGGACGAAGTGATGGCATAGTCGTATTGTTGCTACACTAATAATCTAGAGACCCAGGTAATGTCCCAGGGAACTGGATTTGAATCCACCATGCCTGAAGGAATTTGAATTCAATGAAAGAAAAAGGGAATTAAGAGTCATATGATGATCATGAAACCACTAATGTAAAACTCAGTTGCTCACTGATGCCCTTTAAGGAAGGAAAACTGCCATCCTTATGTAGTCTGGTCCACATGTGACTCCAGGACTTCATCAATGTGGTTGACTTAACTGTCTTCTGAACTAGACTAGCAACTCACTCAGTTCAAAGGTCAGCAAGGGATGGACAGCAAAAGTTCACCCAGTCAGTGATGCCCACATCCAAAATGGCTGCCAGGGCACATGTAGAGATGATGGCTTCATGGTTTTGACATTGGAATAGTACTCCTAAGATCTAGCTAGTGTTTTAATGACTCGGGTTCAAATTCCATCCCCACAGATGGAAATAATAACTATTTTTTAAAAAATGGATTCAAAAATCCAATGATCCCTGGTCATTGTCTTTATAAACACCCATCTTGTTTATTGATTGCCTTACGGGAGAAACTGCCCTCCTTATCTGCTCTGATCTACATGTGATTCTAAACTCACAACAATTTTGTTGATTCTTAACCTGCACAGTCCTCCTTATTAATATCTAGTGCCAAAACCGGGAGTGCCATCTCACAGACTAGACAGACAATAGCCTGATATAGTCATACTCACGTTATATTTTACACATAATGTCTCAGACATTCTCACCGACAGGACGGACCCAGCAGAAGTGGCAGCACACCAGGAGTCCTCAACATTAACTCCAGAATCTATGAATCTCATGGCATCATGTCAAAAATGGGCAAGGAAACTTCCTGCTGATTACCACATACCACCCATTCTTGGTTAGAGTACTTGGAGGATGCACTGAGGGTGGCAAGGGTGCAGATGAATACTTAGTAGGAAACTTTCATGTCCATCACCAAAAGTACCTCAGAGTACCAGTACTGACCAAGCTGGTCTAATCCCAAAGGACATACCTGCTGGACTGGGACTGCGGCAGGTGGTGTAGAAACCACAAGAGGGAAAAAATATACTTGATCTTATCTTCACTATTCTGCCTGCAACAAATGCATCTGTTCTTGACAGCATCAGTAGAAGTGACCATTGAACAGTCATTGGGGAGACAAATTCTTATCTTGTTCTTTTCTAATACATCAGGAATTTTGTATTGATTTGACAGCTAGCACCAGTCTATTCATTTTTTGCATTGTCTTGCTACTGATCAGAACTGGAATTCTTGTTAATGATCTTCAAATTGACATCTAACTTTTCATACTAATTCACCATCTTTTATGCTGTATGTTTCTAGACTTGAAAGGCCAATGGTCCTACTACTGTTCATGTATTTATTTAAAACTATTATCTCTTTCTCCAGGTAGCATCATTCAGGATTATCATGTTGTGGTTTCACTTTGGGGACAGGGAGGGGAGGAAGGCTTCAAGTCTACTTCACCCTGGTGTGGGGGGTGGGGGGGGGGGGTGGGGGGGTTGGTGGTGGTGGTGGTGGTGGTGGTGGTGATGTTGGTGGTCAAACCTGATGCTCTTCATCTTATTTCTGAACCACACATGATCCATCTAGCCAAGTAAGCTTACTTGACCCCAAGACTATTAATCTATGTCCTTAAAGAGATAATGGTCAGGAAACAATAGCTCAAGCAAAATAAGGATCCATGGAACTAGTTTTGAATAAAATAGTAATGCTTTTCCATGAAAATACAGTGAACTATGATCCTGAGTTATGATCCTGAGAGACAATCTATAAAAGAATCAGTAATGTCTCAGGAAATCTTTTGTAAAGAATAACAGAACCAAAAAATTATTCATTGCACAAAAAGTTGAAAGAAATATGCTGACATAGCTGGAGATCTCACTCGCTATATAACAATGGAACATTTAGCATTAATACGGTCAGACATAATAAGAATAAAATACCACTGAAAATATAAACACTGCCTTTAAATTTAAATATGTCTAATATAGCACCTAAAATTGTTTGGTTCACCAAACTGTTATTATGTAAGTTGAGCAGAAACTGAGTAAGCAGTACTCCAGTCTTACCTTTCACTATTCTCTTCACTGAATTAGTATTAACTCTTGAACTACCACATCCCATGATCTTGTGGTCCTTCAAAGCCTTTCTTTTTCACACCCTTCTAAAGCTTTAAGAAGAAATTTGTTTATTTAATGAAGATTACAACATTTATATAAGTTATTGGATAGTGGAATATACTAAAGGAAACAGTACATCCTCACCGCAAATAATTTCAAAAACAAAGTTTATACAATGATTTTTAGGTAACCTAGAGTCTCAATAACATAGGGAATGGAAAGAGATTCTTTGATTTTGCATAGGAAATGTGCAAGTGAAATATTAAGTGTGAAACAATATTGTGCTGTGAAAAGCTAATTTTATCACCACATGAATATTGATGCAGATAATTCAGAAGCAGGACATAAAAAAGTGCTAAAATCTTGGCTCCCAAGCAGGGGAGGAATTTGGATGTCAGAAATCAACCTAAAGAAAAGCAGCAGCTTTTAAAATGATGTAGCAATATTGGTTGGGTAAACCATGTTGTCCTCCATTACAGTAATGTGGCACAGCAAAGGAACACATCCAGAATGCACAAATCCTCCTGAATTCAAGGCATGTGAAAATGATCATCCATTGACCAGTATGAGATTCACCCTGCCCTAGAACTGCTCCTTAAATATCTTCTGGAATTTCATGATTTCATGGCTATACTATTAATTTCTTAAATGTTTCCTCCCAACAGTACATGTTCATTTTATGTTTGGGCAGTGATGGTCTATTCGATAAATACCAATTTCTAAACCAACAGTTTAAATGAAAAGGTAAAGCTAAAAGCATATGAATGGTAATTAGATTATGAATGCATTACAAATGACTAGAATCATAAATTTGCACAATTTAAAAAATATGTAATTTTCTTCTTTTATTTTTGGAAACTGCAAGTCACACTTACAATTCCACTGGTATCAGCATTCATCCAGAATCTCAGCAAGTGCCCATTTTCCAGATGTGAACCAAACCATCAGAACATAAGGAACATCAGAGTGTAACTCAAACCCATTTTATTTCAGAGTGTAAATTGAGGGGATTGTGGGATCAGGAGTAGGAACCATGGTTATCTTTTCCCCTCTGGGTTTTGGCTAATTAGCTAGAACTAGTACCGCCTGAGGCATTCTGATTGTAGAATTTCAACTCCATTTCAGTGGTGGGAGTCGTAAGATCATGAGCCAGGGGGCAACTGCGAAGGTAAGTTTGAGTATAAAATACTTGCCTCTTGAATAGGCAGAGTGAAGGCTGAGCAGGAGCAATTGCAACACGGGGACTGCTGGGTAAGTGAACTAATATATTCCGGCAGTAGCTAAATCCAAAACTCTTACACGTGTAGTGTCTCCCACCCATCCTCCTCCTCTAACCAAAAAAAAAGATTGTGTGTGGAGGGTCGGTAAGGTGAGTTTTTTTTTCTTTCTTTTTATTTCTTTCGGCAATGTAGAGCAGACGGGATGGAAGCTGGGGCAGTTGCATGCTCCTCTTGTAGGATGTGGGAGGTAAGGGTCACTACTAGTGTCCCTGCTGACTTCACCTGCGAGAAGTGCACCCAACTCCAGCTCTTCACAGACCATGAAAGGGAACTGGAGCTGGAGCTGGATAAACTCCAGATCATTCAGGAGTCTGAGGGGGTGATAGAGAGGAGTTATATGGAGGTAGTCACACCTAAGTTACAGGATAAAGGTAGCTGGGTGACTGTCAGGAGAGGGAAAGGGAATAGGCAGACAGTGCAGGGATCCCCTGTGGCTGTTCCCCTCAATAATAATTATCTGGCTTTGGATACTGTTGAGGGGGGAATGGCTTACCAGGGGAAAGCCATAGCGGCCAGCTCTCTGGCACTGAGCCTGGCTCTGTGGCTCAGAAGGGAAGGGGGGAGAATAGGAGAGCGATAATGATAGGAGATTCAATGGTTAGGAAACAGGCAGGAGATTCTGTGGTACCGAGCGATACTCCCCAGATGGTCTGTTTCCTCCTGGATGCCAGGGTCAGGGATGTCTTGGATCGAGTCTACAGGATTCTTAAGGGGGAGGGTGAGCAGCCAGAAGTCGTGGTACACATCGGTACCAATAACATAGCTAGGAAGAGGGATGAGGACCTGAAAAGTGAATATAGGGAGTTAGGTTGGAAGCTAAAAAGCAGGATGAGCAGAGTAGTAATCTAAGGAATGCTACCGGCGCCATGGGCTAGTGAGGCTAGGAATAGAGAGCAAGTGCAGCTGAAAACGTAGCTACAGAGCCGGTGTAGGAGGGAGGACTTCAGATATGTGGATCATTGGGATACCTTCTGGGGAGGGTTTAAACTAGTCTGGCAGGGGGATGGGAACTGGACCTACAGATCAGAGAATGGGGTAGCTGGTGTACAGGCAGATACAGCATGCAGAGAGCCTGTGAGGAAGGATAGACAGTTGATAGGACAAAGTTGCAATCAGTATGACAGGTTGAAGTGTGTCTATTTTAAGGCAGGAAGTGTCAGGAATAAGGGTGATCAACTTAGCTCCAAGTACTGATCCATGCTGTATAATGTTGTGGCCATTACGGAGACTTGGATAACACAGGGGCAGGAATGGTTGTTGGATGTTCCGGGGTATAGATGTTTCAAAAGAAATAGGGAGGGAGGGAAAAGAGGTGGGGGAGTGGCATTGCTAATCAGGGATGGTATCATAGCTGCAGAAAGGGAGGTTGTCGAGGAGGGTTTGTCTACTGAGTCAGTATGGGTGGAAGTCAGAAACAGGAAAGGAGCAGTCACTTTATTGGGAGTTTTCTATAGACCCCCCAGTAGCAACAGAGACACTGAAGAACAGATTGGGAGGCAGATTATGGAAAGGTGCAGAAGTAATACTTCCCTAATATCTCCTTAGTGCAAATAGTTTGGATGGAGCAGATTTTGTCAGTTGTGTCCAGGAAGGATTTCTGACTCAATATGTAGATAGGCCGGCTAGAGGGGAGGCCATATTGGATTTGGTGCTTGGCAACGAAATAGGCCAGGTGTCAGACGTCTCTGCACTTCGGTGATAGTGATCACAACTCCCTGACCTTTACTATAGTCATGGAGGGGTATAGGAGCAGACGGTATGGGAAAGTATTTAATTGGGGGAGGGGGAATTACAATGCTATTAGACAAAAACTGTGGAGCATAAATTGGGATCAGATGTTCTTAGGGAAATGCACAACAAAAATGTGGAAGTTGTTTAGGGAGCACTTGCTATGAGTGCCGGATAGGTTTGTCCCACTGAGGCAAGGAAGGGATGGTAAAGTGAGGGAACCTTGGATGACAAGACATGTGGAACATCTAGTCAAGAGGAAGAAGGAAGCTTACGTAAGGTTGAAGAAGCAAGGATCGGACAGCACTCTAGAGGGTTACAAGGTAGCCAGGAAGGAACTGAAGAATGCACTTAGGAGAGCTAGAAGGGGGTATGAAAAAGTCTTGGCGGGTAGGATTAAGGAAAGCCCCAAGGCGTTCTATACTTATGTGAGGAACAAGAGGATGGCCAGAGTGAGGGTAGGGCCAATCTGGGATAGTAGAGGGAACATTGACCAGAAATTCAAGTGGACTCACCACATTAACAGAGTAGCTACAAGAGCAGGCCAGAAGCTGGGAATGCTGTGGTGAGTAACTCATCTCCTGACTCCTCAAAGCCTGTCCACCATCTACAAGGCACAGGTCAGGAGTGTGCTAGAATACTCCCCACTTGCCAGAGTGCAGCCCCAACAACCCTCAAGAAGCTTGACACCATCCAGGACAAAGCAGCCCGCTTGATTGGCACAACATCCACAAGCATTCACTCCCTCCACCCCGATGCTCAGTACAATCTACAAGATGCACTGCGGAAATTCACCAAAGATTCTCAGAGAGCACCTTCCAAACCCACAGTCACTTCCATCTAGAAGGACAAGAGCAGCAGATATACGGGAACACGACCACCTCCAAGATCACCCCCCAAGTCACTCACCATCGTGACTTGGAAATATATCACCATTCCTTCACTGTTGCTGGGTCAAAATACTGAAATTCCCTCCCTAATAGCATTGTGGGTCAACCTACAGCAGGAGGAATGCAGCAGTTCAAGGCAGCAGCTCACCACCACCTTCTCAAGGGCAACTAGGGATGGCCAAGAAATGCTGGCCGGCCAGCGATGCCCACATCCCACAAAATGAATTTAAAAAACTTGTGCGTGGAGTCAGAGGAGGTAGTGGAGACCCTTAATGAATACTTTGCTTCAGTATTCACCAGTGAGAGGGACCTTGACATTTGTGAGCACAGCATGAAACAGGCTAATACGCTTGAACAGGTTGATGTTAGGAAGGAGGATGAGCTAGAAATTTTGAAAAAGATGAGGATAGATAAATCGCCTGGGCCAGACGGGATATACCCAAGGTTATTACGGGAAGCGAGGGAAGAGATTGCTGTGCCTTTGGCAATGATCTTTGCATCCTTGCTGTCCACTGCAGTAGTACAGATGATTGGAGGGTGGCAAATGTTATTCCCTTGTTCAAGAAAGGGAACAGGAATAATCCTGGGAATTACAGAACAGTCAATCTTACTTCTGTGATGGGCAAATTATTTTATTGGAGAGGATTCAGAGAGATAGTATTTATGATTATTTGGAAAAGCATAGTTCAATTAGAGATGGTCAGCATGGCTTTAAGAGGGACAGGTCATATCTCATAAGCCTTATTGAATTCTTTGAAGATGTGACAAAACACATTGATGAAGGTAGAGCAGTGGATGTGATGTAGATGGATTTTAGCAAGGCATTTGATAAGATTCCCCATAGTAGGCTCATTCAGAAAGTAAGGAGGCATGGGATTCAGGGAAATTTTGCTGTTTGGACTAATAGAAGACAAAGGGTGGTAGTAGATGGAAAGTATTCAGCCTGGAGCTCGGTGACCAGTGGTGTTCTGCAGGGATCTGTTCTGGGAGCTCTGCTCTTTGTAATCTTTATAAATGACTTGGATGAGGAAGTGGAAGGGTGGGTTAGTAAGTTTGCCGATGACACGAAGGTTGGTAGAGTTATGGACAGCATGGAGGGCTGTCGT